ACCTGACTAGCCCAGTGGTTTTTCCTACTTTCTTCACTTTAAGCTTGAGTTTTGCTATAAGAAGCTGATTATCAGAGCCACATTCAGCTCCTGGTCTTGTTTTTGCTGACTGTAGAGCTTCTTCATCTTTGGCTGCAAATAATATAATCAATGTGATTTATGTGATCTGGTGATGTCCATATATAGAGTCGCCTCTTGTGTTTTTGGAAAAGAGTGTTTGTGATTACCAGCTTGCTCTCTTGAGAAAACTTTATTAGCCTTTGCCCTGCTTCGTTTTGAACTACAAGGCCAAACTATGCTGTTGTTCCTTTGATCTCTTGACTCCCTACTTTAGCATTCCAGTCCCCTATCATGAGAAGAACATCTTTCTTTGTTGTCAGTTCTAGAAGGTGTTGTAAGTCTTCATAGAATTAGTCAATTTCAGCCTCGTCAGCATCGATGGTGGGTGCATAAACTTGGATTACTGTGATGTTGAAAGGTCTGCCTTGGATTCGTATTGAAATCATTCTATCATTTTTGAGATTGTATCCCAGCACAGCTTTTCCCACTCTTTTGTTGACTTTGAGGGCTACTCCATTTCTTCTACGGGATTCTTGCCCACAATAGTAGATATGTTAATTGTCTGAATTGTATTCGCCCATTCCCATCCATTTTAGTTCACTGATGCCCAGGATGTAAATGTTTATTCTTGCCATCTTGTGTTGGACCACATCCAACTTACCAAGGTTCATAGATCTTACATTCCAAGTTCCTATGCATATTTTGCTTTGCAGCATCGGACTTTCCTTTCACTTCCAGGCGTGTCCACAGCTGAGCATCCTTTTGGGTTTGGCCCAACCACTTCATTAGCACTGGAGCTACTTGTACTTGCCCTCCGCTCTTCCTCAGTAGCATGTTGGACACCTTCCAACCTGAGGGGCTCATCTTCCAGTGTTATATCTTTTAGCCTGTTTCTGTTCATGGGGTTTTCTTGGCAAAGATACTGGATTTGCTTTCCAGTTCCTCCTCCAGGTGGATCGCGTTTAGTCAGAACTCTCCACTATGACCTGTCCGTCTTGGGTGTCCCTGTACGGCATAGCCCATAGCTTCTCTGAATTACTCAAGCCCCTTCGCCACGGCAGCAATCCATGAAGGAGCCTTATGTTCTTAATATCCAATAATGAGAAGCATACTGCTTGTAATACCAGAAGAATTAGGGAAAGGCTGTGTGGTCCTTAACATGTGCAGTCTGTTTGATTTTTTTAGTGATTCAATAAAGATATCATCCTACTCTTGCATTTGTGTCCCTAATGCTGGAGGTTTTGTGTAATTCCATTACTAGTCACTTACAGTTTTATTTTCCATGTATTTTTCTAAGCCATTTTCAAAGCAATCCAAGCTGGTTACCATCATTATTATCTTGCAGAAGCAAATTCCACAACTTGAAAGTTAATTGTACAAAGTACTTCTTTTCACCTGACCTGAAATCTCACACTATTTACCCTCCTTTGCTGATGTCACATTATGAAGGAGAGGGAGAACAACTTCTCATCCAGTTTCTCTTCAAGATGTGTAACATGATACAGCTGTATCATGCTCTCCTTTTATGTACGATTTTCCTATGTTTTAAAAAAGCATATATGCTAACTTTACCTGATAGAGCAGTTTCTCCAGTCCTTTGCACACTCCCTTTTTGGCTTTATGCAATAAATGCAAGACAAATATTCCATGCTTGAAAGCTGAGCTCCTTCATAAAAGAGATTTAATTCAAGACACGCTGAGCAAGGGAACAGAAGGGGTAAGGATCTGTCTAGCAAGCTGCTTTCCACTCTCACAGTCCTTGGATCCCACTATTTAACTTTAGAAGAAGAGGTGTATTAATAGTTTCTATCCCTTTATTCATTTCCTAATTTGCACTCTTTTATGCTATCCGTACATCCTCCCCTTATTATTTATTTATTCCTAACAAGTCTCCCACAAACTACTGGAAGTGTTTCACAGTTACTTCATGTTACAAGCAAAATCTTCCATGCTCAAACAGCAAAGTCCTATAAAAACTATCACAGTCTATAATAATGAAACGATCTCCCTCTCACAATCACAAACAACAAAAAAGTGGAACTCCTAAAGCTCAAATATTTTGCTGCTATTAAAATCACAAAATACTCCAAAATCCTTGGACAGGGGAAATGCTTCTACATTCCATTTTACTGCTCCCATCTATTTGATTGCTAGTCATCCATTAGAAGAAGAAAACAACAGCTTAGCCTAATTCCATTCTGCTTTCCCTGCTAGTTGTGATACTGATAAAATGAAGGCCTACTCAACTATCACACTGTTGTTATGTGCTGCCAGGTTGCCTCTGACATTCGGCAACACTATGAATGAGTAACCTTCAAACTGTCCTGTCCCCAGTAGCCCTACTCAGCTCTTACAAACTCAAACCTGTGGTTCCTTTAAGGATTCAATCCATCTCGCATTTGGTCTTCCTCTTTTCCTGCCAGTATTATACCTTT